CATCAGGTACTCAGTACTCAGTACCTGATGATGACAAAACCTTGTCGAAACGTTGTACATTTGCTGTCATGTTAAACTTATATTAAAGTTTTTCTTCATTACCCATTTAAGCAGTCTCCAGCCATTATATATATCCATAAATGTTCGTTGGTAAAAGGAAAAATAATACTCTGAATATCGGTTCTATTTTGATGTAAAATATGTATTTTAATTTCCTGGTGTAAAACTTCTATTTTAGTTACCTTTTATTGGTGAGAGAGTTATTATTGTAATATAAAATGTTCTTTATATATTAAATGACCTATAATGTTCAAGTTAGGTATGAACCATACAGATATAAATATAATGTAAAAGGTTCAACGTTAAGTGTCCCAAACCGATATAAATATAATAGTACTGTCTGTTGTATGTCCATTTAACTACTTTGTAGTTGGTATGGAGGTTTATTGGACCCATGAGGGGTTGCATACAAATTATCACTTTTGCGTTTTGCGGTTTTTATGGGCGTTTTTTTTTGCGTTTTTTAACACTGCCTCAACTCCTGTGGATGGACCTTCACCAAATTTGGTGTGGAGTTTCATTGGGTCTATGTGAAGTGACATACAAATTTTGAGTTTTGCGTTTGGCGGTTTTATGGGCGTTTTTTTTTATTATTATTATTACTTCGCCTCCAAATTTAACATGAAGGTTTGTTTTTGAAGAGAAACAAAAGTTTCTGACCATCCCGGGTTGTTTTTCAGGACCCAAACTCTCTTTAAGACTTGAAAGATCTTAAACCTAAATTTCTTCCACGATTTGGTTTAGTTTGTCCTGAGATAACCTTTCATTAATCATGAATTTACATGATATCCGTCCATTGGAAGGATACTCCAACTAGTATTTATTATTGTTTCTTACTTTCAGTAATAGTTTCTGCAGTGTTGTTCAGATTTTTATGAGAAACTAAACCACCCGTAACCCGTTGGGTCACCCACAATTCAAAGGTTATTAAAAATTCAACCTAATTTCAATATTTCACCGAAATTAATATTTATTTTGAGATAATTCAATTAAATATTTCAATCCATTCGTGTTATTCATAATTCAAGAAAAGATATTTGATTGTTGATCGGAAGTGAAAGGAAAGACCATTTCATATGGTTAGTTCTAGATAAAGTTGTGTATTCAGAAATACAAAGTATTCTGTTAGGCTTAAGTAGAGTCATACTCCGAAGGATAAACTAAATTCATTGCTTTAAAAGTCGAAGTGGTTTGCGTGGAAATGCAAAAGAAAATTGTAAATCACGGTATTTGCAACATTTGTATGAAATTAACTTACTGTGCCCTTCCAGCGCCTCCAGAATTCGAGACTAAATATGGGAGTCAAGCAGTAAAGAAAGAACAAGACGCCATTCTCAGTTGTGAAGCTAGTGGAGAATCACCACTAAAAGTTCGCTGGGAGAAGGACAAGCATATTTTAGATATCGGTTCAAACAAAAAGTGGGTTCAACGTTTGGTACATAGCATCCTAGTGGTCAAGTTTAAATATTTACATTGTAAAGTGTAGATGCTTATTATGTATACTTTTAATGTAAGCTGGCATCTGGTGTAAAATGCTTATTTACTTTGTGTATTAATTGTTTTAGAATCATTGTTTTGGTGTGAAATGTACATGTTCGTTACATTCTATTAAAGTGTAGATGTTTATTATGTAGACTTCTAATGTAAGCTAGCATCTGGTGTGAAATGTACATGTTCGTTACATGCTATTAATACAAACTGTTATCATCTTGAACACTGTTCATACACATTATTTATAGTATTCAACTTAACCTCATTATCTTGAAATGGAATATTTACCTAACGAACTATCTAGTTAAGTGTCAATATCCTGTTAAAAAATACTTACATCATCAGAGACTTACATACTGTCAAGGTTAGTCACTATCTTAGTGTTAAGTGTAATTGAACGTTACATAGTAGTCGAGAAAGTGCCAGTCTTTTAAAAAGTTTATGTTTGTTTTGTGCTACTAAGGAAGATATCAATATCCTGCATAAAGTAGTCACCTTGTTTTCGAACTATTAATATCAGTGTCATTTATAAAATGGTTCTATACGACACGTGCTAATCATGTGTTAGAGCACAAATGAAAAATGTTTGTATTAGTATTTGTAAAGTAACTGTTGTATGTTTTGAAAAATATTTAACACAATTCCTGCGAAACAAATCTAAGATAGATCTTTGATTTCCGTTTTCAATATAAACTACTGTGCTGCGATTAAAGTTTCTAGTGTTTTAAACTAGGATCTCTTCCAATAGTGTTAACGGATTTAGTGTAACTTTCTAGTGTTTTAAACTAATAGGCTGTTAGGATTTCTTCCAGCAGTGTATAACGGATTTAGTATAACGTTCTAGTGTTTTAAACTAATAGGCTATTAGGATCTCTTCCAGTAGTGTGTGTGTAACGGTATTTAGTGTAAC